TGCCCCTTTCTTCACCACCATATATCTTCCTTTTTTATCCTGTCCCCCTTTCTTTTCATTCTGTTTTTCCTTTTTTATCTTTCAGAATTGCTGACTTCGTTCTCTGTTCTTTATTTTCCATTTCCTTTCTCTTTCTTATTTACTAGTTGTTTGTCTAAGTATAAATATGCTTATGATCTCACTAAGCTAAAATGCCAACCCTCATCATTATTTAGAATTTTTCTTTTTGTTACAATTGTAGATTTGTGGAAACATGGAATGTTTACAAAATGTCGTTCAAATATATGCTTTATTATCCAGGTGTAAATGTTAGAGATAAATCAGTTTTTGACTTAAAATTTATAGAAAAAATCCCCTTGTGAATCACCTTATTAAAATTAAGGCAAATGAGTTTGTGATAGAGTTATTTGAATTTCCTTTATAGTTGACAATTCTCCAGTAACGGAAATAGTTTTACTACTCAAAGTTTGTGAGTGAAAGCTTCAGGGTGACCCTTAGAGTTCTGATCATTTTCCAATGGGAAAAACAGTGAATTCAAAAGTGCCTCAAATATTACTGCAAAGTTAACTTCAGATACTAACACTTTGTTACTAATAAAATAGGTAGGCTAAAAAGGAACTTGAGTATTTAAGTTTAACTACTGACTTTGAACTGTGTGTTTTCCAATACTACCCTTTAAATGTAATCTTCTTTAATTTTAGCAAGATGAGTATCATATGGTTCATCTAGTATGTGCTTCTCGGACTCCTCCCAGTTCTCCAAAATCCAGCAACAATAGAGAAAGTCGTGAAGCATTGGCATCCAGCAGCAGTTCTGTGAGTTGTGTTGGGAGGAGTAAACGTTGAAGATTTCTGATTATCCTTTTTTGCCTCCAAAACCTAAATGAAAAACATAACAATTGGAGCTTGTGAGTTTTGAGATTGTGTTTTAAACAACTAGAGTTAGGCATTTAACATTTTGTTTTTAGAGCTCAAAATACAAGGTGTTATCCCTTTCAGGCTGTTTGCTGTGACTTATAGTTTGCTGTATGATAGGTCAGTGATAGATAAAGTATTCAGGAGCTTAGTAGCTAGAACACTGAATTTTAAATGTGTGAATTCTAAATGTGATTCAAGAGGGGACTTCAAAAATTTCATGGAAAAGTGGAATTAAAAGATAAGTTTTGGTGCAAAATTTTTTGAAATTCATGCATATAAAAGGTCTTCAAAAAGCTCATGAACAGTGAGCATTATGAAAACAGTGTGTGTGGCTTTCAAAATTTTGTGCACTAATAAAACTTTATCTTTTAATTTCATTTTCCATGAGGCCTTTAAGTTCATGGAAATATAATATAAACTCTGAGGCCATTGATGTTTCAGAACTATTTGCTATATTAAATATACTGTATTTTCTTCAAAATGGACTAAGTTGTTTAAATTCTAAGTATCCTAAAATTCCTTGAAGTAGATAACTTAGTCAAGGATTTTGTATTTTTTCTCCCTTTTATTATCATTTTAATTATATATACTTATGATGTTCAGTGTGATAATTTAATGGTTGTATACAATTTGTGAGGGTCAAGGATTTTATTTTTATTTTTGAAGATTTATTTTATGCCAACATTGTGGCATAGGGGTGAAGCTGCTGCCTGCAACACTGGCCTCCCTTATGGGTGCTGGTTTGTGTCCCAGCTGCTCCACTTCTGATCCAGTTCCCTGCTAATGGCCTGGAAAGCAGCAAAAGATGACTTAAGCACTTGAGCCCCTGTCACCCACATGGGAGACCCGATTGAAGTTTCTGACTTTGGCCTTGCTTAGCCCTGGTCTTGTGGTGAATCAGGGGAGTGAATCAGCAGATGGAAATTCTCTCTTTCTCTCTTTCCCTCTCTTTGTAACTCTTTATTTTTTCCCTCCCTTCCTTCCTTTTTTAGATTTATTTATTTATTTGAAAGGCAGAGATACAGAGAGAGAAAGAGAAAGAGAGATCTTCCATCTGCTGGTTCACTTCTTGAACAGCCGCAATGCCGGACCGCAGCCAGGAGCCAGGAGCTTCTTTCTGGTCTCCCACGTGGGTACAGGGTCCCATGCACTCGGGCCGTCTTCCACTGCTTTCCCAGTTGCATCAGTAGGGAGCCAGATTGGAAGTGGAGCAGCTGGGACTTGAACTGGTATCCATATGGGATGCTGGCACAACAGGCCAGATTAACCCTCTGTGCCACAGCACCAGCCCCATAACTGCTTTTCAAAGAAACAAAATAGATTTTTTTACCTCTCATTAAAAAAAAAAATAGATTTATTTACTTGTTTGAAAGAGTTACACAGAGAGAGAGAGACGGAAATATTCCATCTGCTGGTTCACTTCCCAAATGACCTCAATAGCTGAGGTTGGTCCAGGCTGAAGCCAGGAGCTTGGAATTCTACCTGGATCTCCCATGTGGGTGCAGAGGTCCAATTATTTGGGCCATCTTCTGCTGCTTACTCAGACACATTAGCAGGGACCTGGATTGGAGGTGGAGTATCTGAAACTCAAACTGGTACCCATAAGGGATACTGGTGTTGCAGGTGGCAAGCTTAATCTGCTGTACCACAATGCTGGACCCAGCTTTTAATTTTTAAATGATTGGATTTAGGCATGTATTCCAGGTACATGGGGAATAATTACTAAATGTATTCATCTCTCAGATATGGGAATTTATCTTATTTTTCTATTTGCCTAAAATTGTTTTGGCAATTTTTTGTAACAGTTGAACATTTCAACTTAGATATTCTCTACACATTTTAAGGACTATCTCCTCCATCTTTTTATGATAAATGACTTTTGATTTCCCATTAAATCTTTTTGACTTCTTTGGGGGTGGGAGGGTTGAGATATGTGGAAGCTAGTGTTAAAGTTCTTGGACATGCAGGAAACGTTCCTTCTTGAGGAAGCCAGCCTACACATCAGTAAAGGGATGAGTGACAGGGTGATAGCTAGTTGAAAGATTTGCTGATAGACGCTACTTAACTGCTTCTTTAAGAAACTGGATCCTATAGTTACTGTATTTAGTATGGTTCAATGGTAAGTATTTTCTAGTATGTGCCCTGGGAATTTAACATACATTAAACTGAAGTATTCTTTGCCAAATCACTCAAGGGTCTTTATGTATTTCTTACCTTGGCATGATAATGGACAAACTGGCATCGACACAGAGTTTTGTAGGTAGGCTTTGAACACCTTTGTGTTGCTACAGTTTTTGTGGGGAAAGAATTCGCAAACTCACTTGACTGGTCCAGTGGTTCCTCAGCCATGATTTTTCTGTCATTACTATGTATATTTTTTAGAGTGTGTTAGGAAAATCTAAAAAGTGTTAAAAGAAAGTTAAATAGAATTTCCCTTAATTTTTCATGACTCAAAAATTTCAGAGGGATTTGAAAATGTCTTTAAAAATATAATCATGAAAGAATTAGCTAACAAGGTCAGAAACTATTAGTTCTAGAGAAATTGGGCTATGCTGCCAGATGGCTAGGCTTTTCTTCTATTAATTGTGTTAATGAACACACATTATGATGACCTATTTAATGGGACGTCCTGCTGAAACAGAAGCCTTTCAGAGTTTATGGCCCTAAGAATCATACTCTTTAGTAAGATATTTGGTGTCTGTTTTGTGTGAAGTAGCATCTTAAAGGAAGCTCTCATTGGTTTTGCGAAAGACTGGTATGCTTGGGACTTTTCAGATGGCAGAACTTGGGAAGGTAGACATGCCAAAAGGCATCTTGTCAATAGGAAGATGGTACAGGTAAAAATACAATTTTTTTAAACTTTGATCCCAATTATTTTTTTAAAGATTTATTTATTATTTATTTGAAAGACAGAATTACAGAGAGGCAGAGAGAGGCAGAGAGAGAGAGAGAGAGAGAGAGAGAGAGAGGTCTTCCATCCACTGGTTCACTCCCCAAATGGCCACAGCGGCTGGAGCTGCAACAATCTGAAGCCAGGAGCCAGGAGCTTTTTCAGGGTCTCCCACGTGGGTGCAGGGACCCAAGGACTTGGGCCATCTTCTACTGCTTTCTCAGACCATAGCCGAGAGCTAGATTGGAAGTAGAGCAGCTGAGACTCAAAGTGGTGCCCATATGGGATGCCAGCACTGCAGGTGGTGCCTTTATCTGTTATGCCACAGCACCAGCCCAGTAAAACACAATTTGAACACACTTGGATGTAATATCATACCCATCCCTAGATTTTGTTAGGTAAATGTAATTTATATAGCATCTAATTGTGTTTTAAATTTACATAAACATTTGACAAATCAGAATGGTCTCCAGGTACCTACATTTAAGGTTATTAAATCTGAGTTACTGATAGCATTTGAGCATGAGAATTTGAAAATTCTGATTAGTATCTTGATCATTTTGTTGGAAAGCAGTATGTGTTGGTGGTATCTATAAACCAATAGGATTTTAGAGTGGAAAGAAATCTTGAAAATCCAGATCAATCTCATTTTCTGTTAGGAAGCAGACAGTCTGAGAGGTTAAGTGAACCTTTGAAGTTATACTCCATGTTAATGTCAGAGATAAAACCAGGTTCCAGATCTGTTGATTCCTGGCCTGTTCCCCATTATTTTAAACCAGTGTGTTACCAGTAGCGTGTTGTACAGTACCTGCCACAAAGTAATGTCTAAATGATTTAGTAATCAGTGCCATTTATTGAGCACTTTACCTGTTAAAGACTGTTAAAGGAGCTTTGCATGCATTAATTTAATCCTCATAATTTATTTTGCTACTGTTGTATATTATTACTCTACTATTCAGCCTTTCCTACTCAAGAAATGGAATATTATTGTTTAAATAGTTTTGACTTTCTGAATTCTTTAGCTATGAAACCTAAAATATCTGTTATTCTGGACACAAATTCAAATTCATAAATTTCTAAAGTTGAGTTATTCTGTAGAGAAATTTCATAAATAAATTTCTGGTAGTATGTCTATAATCTTGTAATTGTGATATGTTAGATCTCTGAGAAAATAATGACATTTTTGTCGGTAGAGTTCAGATCATTCAGGATCGACAACTCCGTCATCCAGTCAAGAAACCTTGTCTTTAGCTGCTGGTTCTTCCTCAGAAGGGTTGAGGCAGCGAACCCTTCCACAAGCACAAACCGACCCAGCCCAGAGTCATCAGTTTCCATATGTAATACAAGGGTAAGTGAGCTTGTGGTCGCTGGGGATCACAATCGGGGCCCCCTCAAAATCAGTTACTTTTGATTTTCCCTGTGGCCCCTTTGCAGTAATTAAAGTGCGTTTGAATTTTATTTATATACTTGATTTTATATTTTGAGAACTAGAGCGTTAAGTTGAGCAATGCTGTTGAAATTTGGTCACACATAAAATATTTCAGGGCAGTAGTTTCAGTTCTTAACATTCCTACTCATGAGCTGGGGATGTTGCTAAGATACAGGTTCTGATTCAGTTACTGAAAGGGTCTGGGATTCTGCATTTCTAACAAGCTTCTAGGTAATGTTGATGCTTCTTAGGCTTAGACTATGCTTTAAGCAGTGAGGACCTGGGCAACTAATTGTTATTAAAACCCAGTTTCACTATAGGTCTTCTGTTAGTGTTCCAGGTAGTGGGTGCGTGAATGATGATATACTTGGTGAAAGGGTGGGCTGAGCAATCTTTTTTAAAAAAATTCCACAGTTGGTTCTGATCAGCCAGACAAGGTAACAGCTGAGGTGGACTTTGACCATGATGTGTTTCAAGTATGTGCTAACCATTGTGTGTTACACCAGAATCTTTGTTGTTTGAGAGTGCTATAGAGGAGTTTTCTCAAGAAGCTTATTGTGGCTTCCTTGTGTTTAGCAATAACGGCAGGCCTCATGGGCTAGGCTGCTGTGCAGGACATGCATGCAGCCAGCTGCACAGGAAAGACGCGTGTGCAGACAGCTCAGAGAGTAAGGTCCTGGAGACTTTGGTTTAGACTTGTTTGTGTCTGAAAGCAAGGTACCTATCGGGTTACTATGTTATTTTTCCAGTAATGGAAACTTGTGAGTCCAGGTAGTAATAGTCATTCTGTGTTATGTATCATGCCTTGGTTCTGCAAGTGTATGGCCTTGGTCTGGATCAGTGGTGGGGGGACTGAAAATGGGGAAATGGCTGGGACCCTAGGGTGGTGCTGTAGGTGATGTAACTAGGAAGTAGCCATTGATTGCTATGCTAGATAGGGATATCATAATCATTTAGGTGCTTTTTACTTACGACTTATAATTAGTTCAGTTCCTAATATGTGAATACAAAAATAAAGCTGGCTATATAGCAAAATAGAAGAAAAATCATTTATCTCTTTTCTTGAATGTAAAGCCTTTTCTCTCAAAATAAGTATTTAGATGAGGCTGATTGTAGACTTTTATAAAGTACCTATGACATTATTTTTGTTTTAAGAAAATGATTCCTATAAACCAAAACATAGTTATTTGTAAAAAAAACAATGCTCTCAGGGTTTATGTATGGAGTGGTAACCTTAAAGAACTTTGTGTTTATGGTAGTGATGTATTTCCTTCTTTCCTTTCTTCTTCTTGTCCCCCCCCCCCCTTTTTTTTTTGCAGAGTAAGGCAGTTCAGTTTATCTCAAATTTGTGTATTTTATTTATTTAATTTTGTGGTAGTGGTAGAGGGTGGGAGGGAGTATCATACGTTAAGTCTGGAGGAATATATAATAATAATGTGTTTGTTAACGGTGATTATAACTGTATGATAAAAATTTTAAGTTTTTCCTCATAGAAGACATATTTTATGATAAAATAATGTCTAATAGTGTTAGAAGATGGTGGGGTCATGAAGAGGTGACTAGGTTATTAAGAGGACTTAATGCATTTCACACTGGAGTGGGTTAATTCTTGAGAGAGCAGTTGCTACAGAGTGGCTCCAGTCTCCTTTGTCCCTCTTTTCTGTGTCTGCCTGCTCTGCCTGCCCTGTCCTCTGCCTTTTGCCCATGTTATGACACAGCATGAGACCCTTGCCAAATGTGGCCATCTGATCGTGGACTTACAGCCTGCAGAACTGTGAACTAAATAAACTTCTTTGCTTTATAAATTACCCAGTCTTAGATATTCTGTTACAGAAAGTATTACTAAGCAAGCTAGGATCACTGCTGGATGCACTCAAAGACCAACCTGATGTTTTGAGAAGAGAAAAGCTTTATTTGTTTGGCTTTATTTGTTTATTTATTTGTTTGGCTGTCTAGCGTAGGAGGTAGGTGGTAGGGCTTAAATCTGCTTCCCCAGTTGGGGGTCTAGGGAAAATTTTTATGGATTAGTTAGGAAAAGCTGGTATGTGGAAATGGGAATTCCTACTAGAGGGACTTGGAATAAGGCCATTTATAATAAACGTATAGTAAGATGGGCTCCATCTACAGGTTCCCTTGTGCAGTGGACCACTGAAAGGACCCCAGTGTTTTCGAGGTTCTGCTTGTATGCCAGTCTGTCTGATTCTGAAGGTTACCCTTTTCCTTCTGCATGCACTGGTTATATGACTTGTAGTTTGTTCCCTCTGTGCCTGCACAGTTAAATCCTAGGCAGCTCAGTTAAGAAAACAGGAACTTAAAAAATATTATGAGACTTGTTGTTAAAGCATAAGGTGGAAAAGTTTCAGGAAAGGAATAGGGAAATATAACAAGAGGAAACCCTGTGAAGGGGTTTGTCCCTTGTGACAAATGGACTAAGAAGTTGGTCCTGAGGAATGGGCTGTGTTATAATAGTACCTGGAAATGCGAAAGTGGCTTTTGACCTGGATAATAAGTAAAAGCTGGAAGAATTTTGAAGTAAATGCTGAGAAGATCCCAGAATGCCATAAATGGAACTGTAAGGGGTGATTCTGTGAGAATTTAGAAGACAAGAAGATTAGGAAAGTCTGGACTCCCTAGAGATTACTTAAGGGTCACATTGGAATGTTGATAGAAATAGGGAAAGTGAAGGCCATTCTGATGAGATTCCAGGTTGATAGTGAGGAAAAGGACTTTGGGAACTGGAGCAAAGATCCTTCTTGTTATAAAGCAGCAAAGAATGTGGAGGTCCTGCCTCCATGCCCCAGGGCTGTAAAGAAGGCCCAGGTTGAGCGTGGCCAGCCAGGCTATCTGCCAGAAGAAACACCAAAGCACTGAAGCTTTCAGATTGCTGCATGGGTGCAAAGGGGTGACCTAAAGGCAGAACTTTAAATTGAAAGGGAAGTAGAGCATAAAAATTTGGAAATTTTCACATGAATTGGCATGGAAAGAGTGAAAAAGTGTGCAGGAATGCTGCCAAGCCACTGTTTGCCAAAGAGATTAGCATGGATAGAAGAGAGCCTGGTGCTATTCATCGGAACAAAGACAAATACAGAGGCATTGAAGGCATTTCGGAGATCTTTCAGACTGTTCTCACATCGCAGACTTAGCGTATCAGGGTCTCCAGGGCAGAAAAGACTTGCTCCTGTATCCTGGCACAGCACTCCTCAGCCACTCCAGTTGTGGCTAAAGCAGTCCAGATGTGGCTTGGGTCACCACTGTAAAGGCACAAGCACTAAGCCTTGGTGGTGTCCATATGGTGCTCATTCTGCAGGCCTACCACAGGGACAGAGCCATTGCAGAGATTTCCCACCAGGGCAATGCCTGGCGGAATTGTGGGAGTGGGGCTGCTACCCTTGAGATCCCAGAATGTAGAACTAATAACAGCCTGTCAGTATCAGTGTGCAGCTGCAACTAAGGGGCTGAAACCTTGACTTGACTGAGGCCAGCTGAGCCATAGGTATGAGTCTATCCCATGTCGTGGGGGCCCCAGCCCCTGCAGTGTTTTCAGAAAGTGACACATGGAGTAAAGGATTTCCAGGTGTCTTGAGATTTAATGTCTTCCCTGTTGGGTTCTGGACTTGCTTATGCCTTTCTTTTTGCCTGTCTCTCCCTTTTGGGATGGGAATGTCTATCTTGTTCGTGTCCCACCATTACATTTTGGAAGAAGATAACTTATTTTGATTTCACAGATGAGATTTTTGGATTTTTGAATTGATTGCAGGAACGAGTTAAGCTTTCTGGGACTATTGGTAAAGAATGATTATATTTTGCGTTGTAAGAAGCTTGGATTTTATGGGGCCAGGGCCACAGTGACACAGTGCTCTGGAGAAATTTGGTCCCAAATATAACAGGGTTGAGAGATAGTGGGACCTTTAAGAGATGACTAGGTTGTTAAGAGGAATTAATGTCTTTCTCTTGGGGGTAGGTTAATTCTGAAGAGAGTGATGTGTTATAAAGTTGATCTGGCCACCTTTGTCCTTCTTTTCCTCATGTACTTGCTTCCATTGGTGTATTTCCACCATGGTTTGAGACAGCCTGATACTCTCTGAAGCAGCCCAGTTAATCTTGGACTTCCAACCTGCAGAATCATGAGCTAAATAAACTTCTTTTCTTTGTAAATTGCTATGTTTTCTTACTGTAGCAGAAACTGGACCAAAACACAAAGTTAGAAGATTGTAGGTCTTCAGAATAGGACCATATATATCTTGATAAAAGATTAATAATTCCTGGGCAATCACTGGGTACAGTGGTTAACCTGCCACTTTGGATGCCCACATCCATATTGAAGTACCTGGTTTGAGTCCTGGTTCTGCCCATGTTTCCAGCTTCTTCTAATGCATGTGCCGGGTGGCAGCTGGTGATAGTTCAAGTAGTTCACCATCCACGTGGGAGACCTGGATTGTGTTCCTGGCCCAACCCCGTCCACTGAGGGATTTGAGGAGTCAGTCAGCAAATGGGAGATCTGTCTCTGTTTCTGTCTCTGTGTCTTTCAAGTAATGAAGTAAATAAAAAATTTTAGAAGGTTAATTGTTTCTCTGAACTAGACTGTTGAGGAAATCAATAGACATGAACAACAAGGTATTCAACACTAAGCAGTATATATATATTTTTTCTTCTAAGCGGTATATTAAACAGATTGGAATAGTCTGAAATTGTGTTTACTTTGCCACAAGTGAGTATTAAAATGTTGAGTAAAAACACCTTTCAAAGAGATATGTGAGTGTCACTTAGGAAATCTATTGTTAGATGAGTAATAATTGATGTTAATTCAGGAAGACAGTGTAGCCTAGTGGCTGCAGATTCTGGAGCCAGCTTGCCTGCCTTGGAATCTGGCTCTGTTTGCTTGTGAGCTTGGGGAAGTCTGATCCCTAACGTGCTTCAGT